ATTTATCCTATAAATATTCATTATGCACCTACTAAGCACCAGGAACTCAGAGGTCCCAATGCCACACACCTGTAAGAAGAGAACGCTTTACCAGTTGTGTTGTTCTGCATACCCTGGGCCCTAGGTTCTACTTACATAGGTAACTACTCCAAAGGGATATGAGAATATGCAGTAATGGATGATCTCTGTTACTCAAATGCCTCATTTTACTTAATGTGGGAAACAGAGACACAGAGAAGGTGCTGGGTTTGCCTAAAGTCACAGAGCAAAGCAGAGATGAAGACTCAGCTCTCTGGGCCCCTAAACCAGTGCTTATTTCTCTGCCCGGTACTGCTTCTTAATACAGTCCATAAGGCTATCCCTGAATGGAATAAACAGATGCAGAAAATACATAAGGAAAAAAAATTACCCATGCTCTCCTCCTTGAAGCAATGCCACTTCCCTTCCCACCTTTTGATTTCACCACCTGCCTTGGCTTTCTACAGCAGGTGCTAAATGACTGCAATTGATTCCAATGCTTTCCCACCCTTGCTGGGGATCCCACTTCACAAAGCAAGTGGTGGTCCCCATTAAGGCAGAACTCAACCTGGTACACGGCTCTCCCAGAGGCAGACTGGGGAGATGGACAGACATGAAGAAGAGGAGCGGGGAACCCAGACTGTTATTCACTCATCCAGGAAGTTGCATGTTTACACCAGCTCTGCAGTTCAAATGCTGGAAGACTAGGATAAGCCTTTCCCACTGATCACTAAGTTCTGAGATACCAGCTTCCTGGCTTTTATGAATGACAAATGCATACGATATACCCTGATCCTCACTAGATGATCTGCCTTGAACACAGACCCTAGGAAGCAGCAGACATCTGTGACTTGTGATGTGCTCCATCCATTCCCCGTTACCTGGGGAGTGTACCCTGATTTCCCTCCTGAAAAATCGTCTCTCCACTGCTCTCAAACAATACACTGATGAGTAAAATCCTACTCCTAGATTCAGGCATGGACCACAGAACCCAGATCTAAGCCAACCAGACCATTCTATTTCCCTTTGACATAGTGATTGGTCCAAGGAAAGAAAATGCCTCTAGCTAGAAATGCCAGCAGAGAGGTAGATGCTTTTCCTCCTGGGCACAAAACTGAGAAGATGGTAGGTCTTGAGTTTCTGCTCTCATCTTGGAGTCCAAAATCAAGCTTAAAATGCAGAGAGTGGGGCCAAGAGATGGAGAGAAAGGAATCCCAATGGCAGCATATGAACCCCAGCATCAAACCAGCCCTCTTGCTGAAATTGTGATTGTGCCTCATCAGCAAAAGTTCTTTTTTCATTTCCTTGTCATGGATTTTTGTGTCACTTATAATTGAAAGAATCCTACATGACACACTGTCCCACACACTGGGAACAGTGAGGGTCTTCGGGCCTCTCTTTGAATGCCTTCAGCGATGAAGACCACTCTGCCTCTTGGTGTTTCTTCGGATCTTTTTTGTCCTTGCCTTTAGAGCTGCTCCAAGGAAGGAATCAAGGGGCAACTGAGAGAAGGGAGAGGCAATGACAGATGTGAACAGTGAGACCATACACAGCTGCAGGGCTAGCTGACATTTATGGGAAGTGTTAAATCACCGGAGCCTTCCAGGTTGTTTAATATCATATATTGATTTGCTTTTGTTTCCCTGAAGGGAAGAAGGATTTGACTAACAGCCAATGTTCCCATGAGAGCAAGAGCCAGAAGGGTCTCACTGAACCCAGAAGGATGGAAAGCTAAAAGAGAAAAGGAAGAGGGAAGAATGATGGTCTGTGAAATTGGAAAATAATATGTACTTCACTGGGGCTGACATGGCCCTGAACAAGCAGGTGAAGAGGTGAAATTTATCGTGGGCATCTTGCCAGCTCCCTCTAATAGCATCCGTAACCTCTTTCCTGCTTCACTGCTCCTCTCTCCAAGGGGGGCACCATCTTGATGGGTCTAGAAAACAAGGGTAATTAGAGTTGTTCTTAAGTATGTCTCACACATTCAGCACTTGGGCTATTCACATTTTCTCTCATCTATCAAATAACTCCTGGTTAGGTGTCTGTCATATGCCAGGATAATCTTTTTTTTTTTCCTTGTCGTGTTGTTGTCCTCTTAAGACAAAATTTGAATTTATAATTAAATTTGTAATTATAATTCAAATTGCTAATCCCTTGGATTTCCATGTGCATCATGCTACGGGTCCTAGGACCCTCATGTAATGAACACCACAGAAACTGTTCTGCTAGACACTAAGAAAGAACCAGAGGGTCCTCTGTGACTCCATACCTAGTACAAGTGCCCAGCAGCGAGTAGGTTCCCAGTCAGCAACTCACAAATGAATCTCATGAACGTCCTTTTCATAGAGTGAGGATCAAAGAGGTGAAGAGAAGCAAACTGCCCCAGTGAAGGTCGGATGGATTAGAACTCTGGGTTTCCAACGCTTCCTTAACCCAGTGCCCTCTCCCAACCACGCACATGCCCAGCACCCCACCTCATCACAGCCACTGGCTACAGCTCTACAAAGAGTCTAGAACACAGCACCCCAGGCCAGCCCAGCCCTGCAGCCTCTCTCCCTCTTCCAACCCAGCTATAGACAGACGATAAGCATCATCATTCTCTAACAAATCCAGGCCCTGGAGCACCACACCAAACAGAGAAACGACATAGGGGTTGACCATGGCAACTTGCTCTTGGCCCACCGCTGGCTTCCTTTTGACCCATTTAGATCTAATCTTCAAGATGCTATCAATGTCACCATCATTGCTGAAGTTTATTTGTGGCTTTACCTATGAGGCACTGCCGCAAGCCATATCACATGGATTACCTCATTTAACTCACAAATTTATGAGTGTGTAGCATCATGAATTTTGTTTGCCAATAAAAGAACTGAGGCTCCGGGATAGCTTGAAGGTCATGCATCTACTAATCAGCAGTCTGGATCTGAATTTGGGTCTCTATAGTTCTCTCTCCCATAATGAGGGCTTCAACTAGGCAATTAAAAAAAAAAAAAGACATCATGTTTTCAAATGCAGGCAGCCCTTGACTTCTCACCTGCTTCCTTTCTTTTTCTCTGTAACAAATTGCAGGGTGACTTTGACCGTGCGCGGTCTCCTCTCTGGGCTTTAGTCTCTACCTATAGAAGTGAAGAGTTAAACTAGAGCTAGCTGGCCTGGAAATGACCCATTTTCAAATTTCTTGGTTTCTCTGACATGCAAGGCATGCTCACTAGACACAATCATAGACCCTTCAAGAACAAGGAAATATTGTGGTCAAAGTGGAAAATACATAGCTGGAGACATAGCTCTGTGGTAGAATGCATGCTTTGCAGGCTCGAGGCCCAGGTCTCAATCCATCGCACCAAAAAGAGAACAAAACTAAAATACCTCAGGTTGCCTTTTCTCAGAAATCCTTAAATGAGCTTCCTTAAGCATTTTGGTGTAGGAAATCAGAGAATCCTGG